CTTATTTCTCAAATTTGTTTTACAATCTGTCTAGTTTTTTATACTTGTTTGTTTGTTTCAACTTCGTCCAAAACTCAATCCTCCTTTACTTTAGTGTGTCTAATTAGTTAGAATCTGTTTTAATTTGTGTTTTTAAATGTTTTGATTCAAGTAAAAGTCAATTTTCGTCCAAAGTCATTCCTAGTGTCTAGTTTAAGTTTATTTAGTTGTTTTAAGCTGTTTTGAGTATTTTAAGTTTGCTTTGAATCTTGTGAGTCTTGTTAAGTATTTTTAAGTTTAGTTTTATGTTTTTGAGTCAGTTTAGAGGTTATTAGCAAGCCCTCCTAATCCCCGATCCAGAACGATCCCTACTTATACTTATATTACAGTTGTCAAAAGAGGGTTAAATTTGTGTGTTAAGTTAATTTTCGCATCAGAAGGACAAGATGTGTTTCATGCTTACTGTTCTAAATGTCATATATGTGTTCAACTCGAAATTAGAGCCTATTCGTGAACCAAGTGACAAAGACACGGAAAAATAGTTGTCGATTGAAAGAAGCGTGAAGAAGATGAATTGGTATGTAGAAGACACATCTTGGGCACATTATCTGATCGCTTATATGACAAGTACGCACACATTCAATCTCCAAAGGAAATTTGGGAAGAACTTGAACACAAGTACACAACGGAGAAAAGAGGTACGAATAAATTTTTAATGTTCAAATATTATGAGTTCACTATATTTGATAACAAACTCATCCTACCAAGTTCATGAATTATTGGTCTCGGTCTCAAAACTTTGTGAACTTAAAATAGTTATTCCGGATTCTATGATAATTGGGGCTGTTATGGAAAAATTACCCCTAACATGGAATAACTATAGAAAGAAACTTCTACACATGGTGGAAGATATTAGTTTGGAGGATTTGCAAAAAGGTATTCAAATTCAAGAGGAAACTCGAAATCGTGATAGGAATTTTGCAAAACAGGATTCCTCTAGAATTCACATTTTTGGAGGAAACAAATACAAAAACAACTTCAAAGTCAAAATTGACAAAGGGAAGTTTAAGAAGACCAAAAAGAATGCAAATGGGGTCTACTACCATTGTGGAAAGAAAGGTCATTACATTCGTGATTGTAGACACAGAAAAGTGAGTGAGGAATATGCCAATAAGACCAATAACGCAAATATGGTGGAAAATTCTGAAATTGATAACATTGTTGCCATGGTATCAATGATGCATATTGCCATGATTACAGAACTAAATATGGCAACGGTAATAAAATCATCTGATTGGTGGCTCGATTCAGGGGCTACTATACATGTGTGTAATGACGAGTCACAATTCAAAACATGTGAAGCATCAACGGACAATCAAGAGGTTTTAATGGGGAATCATAATTCTACCAAAGTTCTAGGAAAAGGAACCATTGAACTTCAATTTACTTATGGGAAGAAATTGACATTGCTTAATGTACTACATGTTCCAGAAATTAGAAAGAATCTTATGTCTGCAAATTTATTGTGTAAGAATGGTATAAAGACTGTTCTAGAGTCCGACAAGTTAATAATGTCGAAAATTGGGGTGTTTGTTGGGAAGGGGTATTCTTGTGATGGAATGTTCAAACTAAGTATTAATAATAAAGTGAATTCTTTTGCTTATATTGTTGAATCTTCCTCTCATTCATGGCATTTACGTTTAGCGCATGTAAATTTTAGATCTTTAAAATACATGCGCACATTTAGTTTAATTGTTTGCAATGATGATTACAATGATAAATGTGAAACATGTATTCGAGCGAAAATGACTAAGAAACTTTTTTCCAACTACCGAAAGAAATACAAATTTATTAGACTTAATACATTCTGACATATGTGAATTTAATGGTGTTTTAACAAGAGGTAAAAGGTATTTTATCACATTTGTAGATGATTGTTCTAAGTTCACTTATGTTTATTTATTGTCTAATAAAGATGAAGCTTTTGAGTGTTTTAAGCGCTGTAAGGCTGAAGTTGAAAACCAAAAGGGAAGGAAAATTAAATGCCTTCGCAGTGATAGAGGTGGTGAATATTTTTCACATGAATTTGATATCTTGTGAAGAGCATGGTGTTGTACATCAAAGAACTACACCCTATACACTACAACAAAATGGTTTGGCAGAAAGAAAAAATAGGAAACTCACTAAAATGATTAATTCTATGATAATTAATGCTAATACTCCTAAACATTTACAGGGAGAAGCATTGTTTACTGCATGTCATATATACAACAGAATTACATTTACGAAGACACATGTGCCACCATATGAAATTTGGAAAGGAAGAAAACCAAATTTGTCATATTTGAGAGTATAAGGTTGTGTAGCCTTTTACAAGGCACTGGACCCTACGAGATCCAAGTTGAGTCCAAGAGGAATTAAAAGCATACTTGTAGGATATGCAGAAAATTCAAAGGCATGTAGGTTGCTTAATTTAGACTCAAATACAATAGTTAAGTCTAGAGATGTCAAATTTATAGAAAATAAATTTTATAATGACTTCTCAATGTTTGGAAAAGAGAATGATCAAACACCTTTCTCTAATCCGGCTACTAGTCATTCTTAAGGTAAGAAAAGAAAACAGTTTGAAACTGTTAATGAACCAAGGAAAAACCAAAGAGTAAGAAAAGAAAATATTCTAGACTTTGATTTTATTTCATCTCAATCTATTGTATTTCTGGTCGAAGGAAATAGAAAAAAGGTTCTAAAAAAAAAATCCATATTGTTGAATGTTGAGGATGATCTTAAAAGTCTAAGCAAATCAATGACTTCAAGAGATGTAGCATTTTGGAAAGAGGCTATAGATGATGAATTTGAATCATTAACATCTAATCAAACATGGGTTTTAGTAGACTTGCCCCAAGGATCAAACGCAATAGGTTGTAAGTGGGTGTTTAGAAGAAAATACAATACAGACAGGTCTATTCAGATATTTAAAGCTAGGCTGGTTGCCAAGGGTTTTAAGCAGAAAAAGAGAATAGACTATTTCGATACATATGCATCAATAGCTAGGCTCACATCAATTAGAATATTGTTTGCATTGTCATTTTTATATAATTTGGATGTTCATCAAATGGATGTGAAAACAACATTTTTAAATGGTGATTTGGATGAAGAAGTCTACATGGAACAACCAAAAAGGTTTGTTCTACCTGGAAATGAAAAGAAAGTTTGTAAACTAGTAAAGTCGTTAGATGGATTGAAGCAAGCACCAAAATAATGACATGAAAAGTTTGATTTTGTCATTTTATCATATGAATTTAGACATAACAATGATGATAAATGCATATACTCTAAATTCACAAATGATTATGGTGTTGTTATATATTTATATGTTGACAACTTGCTAATTTTTGGTACAAATATGAAAGGTGTATCTGAAACTAAAGAGTATCTAAATTCAAAATTTAAGATAAATGACTTGAATGAAGTAGATACTATCTTGGGAATTAAAAGAACCATAGTAGGGGTTATGTTTTGTATCAGTCACATTATATAGAAAAATTGCTTCTTAAGTTTAAGCATCTACAAATAAAAGAAGCAAATACCCCTTACAACCTTAGTGAGACTTTGCTTAATAATTCTAGGAGGTCCATTGCGCAGCTTAAGTATGCTAATGTAATCGGAAGTTTAATGTATGCCATGTATTGTACTAGGTCAGATATCACATTTGTAGTAAGCAAACTTTCTAGATACACTAGTTATCTAGGTACTTCCCATTGGAAAGCAATAAATAGAATTTTTGGTTATCTTAAAAGAACTATTAGCCTGAGTTTAACTTACTATGAGTTTCCAACATTACTTGAAGGATATTCATATGCAAGTTGGATAACAAGTGCTAATGATAATAAGTCTACATCAGGGTAGATTTTTACAATTACCAGATGAGCAATTTCTTGGGCTTCGAAGAAGCAAACATGTATAGCACATTCAACTATGAAATCTGAATTTATAGCATTAGCGGCAGTAGGTAAAGAAGCGGGATGGATAACAAATTTTTTATTGGAAATAGAGTTGTGGCCCTAGAGCAGACAATAAGGTATACAATGGAAAGTCTAGATATATTAGCTTGAGACATGAATATGTCAAGCAATTAATAACAGATGGAGTTATTATTATTATTATTTATGTTAAATCAAGTAATAACTTGGCAGATTCAGTAATGAAAGCACTAGTGGAATGGGGCTAAAACCATTTACTGAAAATTAGCCACCGATAATGGTAACCCGACTTTGTCTAGAACATCACTAGTTTAAAAGTTTAATGGGTAATAACAAGTTATTGATAAGTGGTTGTAAAGCATTGAAAATTAATATATAGCTCATTCCAAGATGATCAGTTTAAGACTGCTATATTTAGGAGGATGAGTTTTATCTCTTAATGAGGTTATTTGTAGTTATGTCTATAGTAGCAGGGACATGGGAAGGAACCTCACCTATATGAACATAAGAAGTGGTGCCGCTTTTACCAAGAGTTGGGTTTTCTCTTGTAAATGTTCTTCAAACCAGCATGAAACACAATGCCATAACAGTGCTTAATTAGTTCAGAAATTTCTTTGAGGAAATAAGACATAGTCATGTGTGTAGTGATTCCAGTTTTAACATAAGAATAGTTGGTTTAAACTTATATCACTATTGCATTCATTATTTACACTAATTAAATATTTAATTCGAAAGACACATTTATTGTAGGCATGATTATATTGGTATGCTTGTGATTAATTATAAAAAGAGAATTATTATAATACCATTTACTCTTAACACTTCTCAGTGTTCCTGTTTCCTTCTCAAATCTGTGGAGAAAGTACCTCATGCAAAATTGCTAACTTCGTATTTGGTGTTCCAAATTGGCCTCTTTTAGGCATCCCAAAGAGCAAGTGAGAGGGGAAGATTATTCTAGGATGTGCTTGAAGCCAAGAAAGCGTATTAAAGAGAAGATTTAATGTTGTGGATAATATGTTTTTGATAAAAATAAAATAAAAATAGGTGAATAACATGAAGTTTATATTTCACGGATAAAAATTAGTATTAAAAATGAATGTATATATTACGAGTTAGTAAGGGATGTTTCTGATTCGAGTTAAACATACTTCTGCAATCAACAAAACTATATTATGCTCCAGTTTGTGCAATGACCATCACGAATCTGATTTTTGTTGGACTGAAACTTCCTTCAGACTTTCGGTGGTTGCTTTTACAGGCAATGGTAAGTCTATGAGCATGTTTGGAGGAGCAAAGTACATGTGCAGTGACATCATACAGATAATAATACCCAAGAAAAGCTGCAACAACAGAACGGACGAGAACCAAAGTTTATTAATAACCTAATCGTAGTTTCCAGAGAGAGTGAGAGGGCAGTGCATGGATGGAACATACCTGCAGTGTGGGCTTAAAAGTGAAAAGGTATACTGATAGAACCATTGTCAGCAGCATTGCCATTGAGGTGGAATACACCTGAAAGAAGCAAATAAATGAACACTAGTATAGTACAATGTTGCATCCATCTAAACTTAAAATAACACTTATTATAAGAGAACGACAGAAATTAGGCCAAAGGTTCATCTAATTACCTTCACTATGTTGTCAGCATACTTCATCAACCATGAAACAAGCAGTCCGGTAGATCCAAGATTTAGCACGACCAACCAAGTTGTAAGACTGTATCCATTGAAAAGGCGTTGCCACCAAGGGCCATTCTCAAATTCACCCCTGAAGTCATCGAAGCCAAGCCGTGCTACGTTGAAAATCACACCAAACCTGTAAAAGGATTGCCATTGGACCAATTTTTTTTCCCACTCTAAATAAACAGTTAATCATGCTGTAAATAAAACTCATGCACATATCTCAAACAAAGTTTATATGCTAATCACAAGACAAGACACTGTAATGAGTTCGCCAATGATGCTATATCTTCTATATTGCGATCCTAAAAAGTGCAGAAAGAGGCCTGACTTGTGTTGCCATATATAAGAAAGTCCACAAAAAAGATTCTTATTGAACTAAATGGAAAATGCATCGTTGAGCTTTCATATAGTAACAATCATGTAATTGAAATTAGTCACAGAAAGCAAGGCATGGTGTGGAAAAAAGATACCTACGTGTACAATTGTACATTCTGCCAGTACAAGCTATCATTGTTCTTCTTCATGAGAAACTCTGTATAAACACCTGCTAATGCTGACATACAAGCAGATAGGATGCCAAGCATATATCCTTGGATTGGTGCTGAGAACAAAGAATCACATGACACTTCTCCACAACCTTTAACCTACAAGATTAATTAAAAGTAAACCAACAAATAAGTAGCCGGTCGTTCTAATGCACAAATTTCCTCAACAACTTTAGAGCTTATTAAAACTGCATCATTCAAGAAATTCCTGAATCACAGATTTTTTTATCAGACAATAGTAAACAAGAACTTATGTTAAGCATACACGCTTCCCAATTAATCTTAGGAGGTCGGAGAAAAAGATCATATTTCTGGATTCTACCAAGAACATAATAGAAAGGTAAGATGATAATAGACAACAACATAATCAAACAGCAGGTAACATCTATCTTTGAAACAGTTCTGAAAACGAATATTCGACAAAAGAAAACCCAATGCGATAACCAAAAAAAGAACAGCTTCTATTATCACCTGGCTCGTGGTTGTTCCAACAGCTAACAAAACAATTGCTATCCATTGCAGATTAGACAACTTCTTTCTCAGGAATAGCCTGAAGTATCATTCGATAAAGATAGATCAATCAATTAATAAAGGAGATATAACTGGACCAAGTAAAATTCCAACGAGAAATTGAAAAAAAAAAAAAAAACAAAAACAAAAAGGAAAACAATTTAGATTATGTCACCAGGAAATCTAATAAAGTAGGCACCTGAACAATATTCCAGTAGTAACAATCTTCAGATTACCCAATATCTGATATGTGGAAGTATCCACATAAACAAGAGTGGCAAACTGAACATTGTTATGAATTAGATATATGACTGAAGGAATAGGATATAAGCGCACACTCCTCCAATCTGTAGTCATTCGTATGGAAGGTGATATGCGACACTCTCTCCAAAGAAGAAAACTGGAAACTATTAGCTGTAATTTAAAGAACCGCAATGAAACATATCAGTACAACTAGAAAAGGCATCACATATTTGAGGAAAGTAAATGAGCCATTGTGTAGTGAAAAACTGTCTCTAATTTGGTGGCTTAAAGAGGAAATCACTGTGACTTTACAAGCTAAATGATGCACTGAGGTAAAGATAGGTATAGAGAAGTACCTTGAATACTTCAGCAAGAAACGGAACAGTTGCATAGTCATACTCATATTTGCCATTGCTTTGAGAGAGCGTTGTTAAGATTCCCTGACATTAATAAACGAATGTTTGGAACTAAATTTCTAAACCAATACTGTCAACCTCTGCCAACACAACATATAAAAAAAAAAAACTTGAGCCCAAAGTTCTCTCACTCCATATATTCCAGAATATGAAAAGTTAAGAACAATATTCTGTTGGAAAATGTCTATAAAAGTTTATCTAGACAGCGCTGCCGCTGATTGCTATAATACCAAAAAAGGCAATGAAACTTCCAGAAAATAACTGCATATAAGTATCCACTCAGCATGGGAAGTCCCAAAATTGATTTCCATGTGTCAAAAACTGAGGAAACCGTTTTCTTTAGCAACACTCAACAACTCTGTCTCATAATCACGTCTTATAACTGGAGCGTCTGTAAGTCTTTATTTCACATGTCAAACCTCCTTAACCGATTTTCTCTCATCTCATCTTCAATTCTGACTACTCCTACTTTACTTGTCCTTTCTCGTGTGGCCACACATCCAACGAAGCATTCTCATGTCGGCTACACTCATTTTGTCTACGTGTTGATGCTTGACCGCCCAACATTTAGTGCCATAAAGTATTGCTAGCCTTATTGCCGTCTATAAATTTTTCCTTTGAGCTTAGTGGCATATGATGGTCACACAACATATCCGACGCACTCTTCCACTTCATCCATCTAGCTTGTATTCTAGAGTTGAGGTCTCCATCTAATTCTCCGTTCTTTTGCAAGATAGATCCAAGATAGTGAAAGCGTTTGCACTTTGGTACTTCCTGATCTCCAATCTTCACCCCTATCTCATTTGGACCTCCATTCTCACTGGACTTGCAATCCATATACTCTGTCATTGACATGGCGAAGACCTTTAGATTCCAACACTTCCCGCCAAAGGTTAAACTTCGCGTTTATCCCTCTGACTCATGAGCTTCATCTATCAACGTTATATCGTCCGCGAAAAGCATACACCAAGGAATATCATCTTGAATGTCCCGTTAACTCATCCATTACCAATGTAAAAAAGATAAGGAATTAAAGATGAGCCTTGATATGACCCTATAGTTATGAGAAAGCTTTCGGTTTGTCCTTCATGAGTTCTTACAGCAATCCTTGCTCCATCATACATTCCCTTTATAGATTGGATATATGCTACTCGTACTACTTTCTTCTCTAAAATCCTCCAAACAATCTCTCTTGGGAACCTATCATACGATTTTTCCAAATCTATAAAGACCATGTGCAAATCTTTTTTCATATCTCTATATCATTCCATCGATCTTCGTAAGAGGTAGATTGCCTCCATGGTCAAGCGCCCTGGCATGAATCCAAATTGATCGACTGAGACCCGTGTCTCCTGCCTCAGTCTATGCTCAATCCATGCTAAAATAAAATACCAACTTGACTGTTGTCGAAAGATCCGTAATGAAAAATGATTATTTCCTCAAGTTGTAAGTTGTAACTAACTAATTCAAATTTGTAAAGAACAAACAAATAATTATGTATACCAGGAAATTTCACTCTTGCAAATAAATGTTAGTTTGTACTCCAATGTGGTTCATAGGATTCTTCCGGGTCAAGAACAGCAAATTGATCCAAAACCAGCACTTACATAAAAAATCCTTTACGACATTTGCTAAAACATACAAATTATGAATTGTTGAAGTTCCATTTGACCCCTTACCGTGAGTGCTACAAAACTACACGCGAGTTCATCCATCCTAAGATCTCAAGAAACAACTCATATCTTGTACAAGTTTCAAGCATTCTCACTTGAATTACTCAATGCTCAAAAACTTGGAATTGGAAAAAAAACACAAAACTGATTTCCTTTCATATCCATTTTGTTCTTTAAACAGCTCGAGAAATGTAGCGCCCTCAGTTGTACTTTTCAGTCAACATAAGAAGGCCAAACTACGCAATAATAACAATTTAAAGCCCAATTTCAAAACAAAAATAAAAAAATAAAAAATCAGTTGGAAACCGGAATCAATTCGCCATTGTCACTTATAAATACACATTTCAAGTATTGGGCAAGACATAATTACACAAACAGAAAGCTGCATAAAAAAATTTAAAAAAAAACTCAAAAATAATTATTTCGGGGAGAATTAAATTACAGCTACACTGAATCGATTTGGGATGAATTGGAACAAAAATTTCTCAAATTTCGAAACTGGGTCCGAAAACCAAACATTGCAGAACTCAGATTCAGAGGATTAAGAGCGAGCAGAGATCCAGAAAACAGTGAAACGCAAAGGGTAGTAACAAAACGGGCCAGAAATCGTAGAGTCTGAAGGTTTACTGACCTGAGAGCTGGTGAGCACGGTGAGCAGCGCGGCAACGAAATACCACTGCATCGTCTTCTTCCAAACGACCAGCGGTTGCTCGCGTAAAGTTTGGGGCTTTGCTAAGAAAATGTAAGCGCTGATTCGGGCATTGGACTTTCCGGTAACCTGTGTACGGCGATGATAAAATCAGCGTCGATTTGGGTGCGAAACTTGTCGGCTGAGAGATTGGCAGTCTGGCGGCATTGATGATTAAATCCACTCCAACCTAGAACTGGCAATCTTGTCGCCTTTACTGTGTTTTTGTTGATTTCATGACATATGTCATATCTTAAATGAAAATATTACAATGAAAATAATTGGCAAGATCCGATCCGAACTTCATCCATTAATTTAACTCGACTCATTATCTATTAAAAATATATATTTTAATAAATAATTAAATAAAAAATATGATACTAAATTAAAATTTACAACGATAGAAAGAGATTTTAGATTTGAATGTTGCTCAGTATGTGACTTCGTCGAATTCTTCCTGTTCTTATGTTCTTAGTATAAAAATAATATCGATGTACTTAACAAAAAAATATACAACGATAGTGTTATTCACACACATTTTTTACAGATCATGATCGTCTCCGAATCTGTTCTCCGGAGATCCGGAGGACCACATCATCCTCGCCGTTTGTTCAAAATCGTGCGGCCAAGATTAAATTTACTTTTTAAAACTCATTTGAAGCAAAACCAGGGTCGATGCACCTCTGTTTTCCTCCTCTTTCCTTTTATCTCAGATCCCAGCAATCGACAAAGCACGAACTTGAGTTCTTTCATGTCAAAATTTCACTGATTAATTACTGAATCAACACTAAGCTTATGGGCAGGGCGGATCCTTTCTATTTGTTTGGTCGAATTTCCGAGCTCGAGAAGAGGAGATGCAAGTGTTTTCAGCCATGGAGTGGATCACCTGAGGAACCACTTCAGCGGCCGGAACACGGTGGTGTTGCTTGCGACTGAGTGGCCATTCCTTTTGAGAGAGAGCACCAGGAAAGGAGCAGGCTTGAAGCGGCAAGGAAAATAGAGAGGGAGACTAGTCTTTTGTCTTAAGATCAAAATCAATGGCCAGGGTGAATTGGTCCGCCGGATCCGCAGTGAATGATCCGGAGATGATCTGGATTTTCTTTTTATCTTTCACACACTCTTGTTAAGTTTTTTTATAGAAATAACAAAACAAAAATGAATAGTAATATAAAATGCTGAAGTGGCTTAATCGTGATCACACAAACAGTAGGTAGACAATCTTTGTCCATTTACAAATCATGTTGTCAATAAATTAGCATCTACATATCCTAAACACTAAACCATAAAAATCCAAATGACGATACAACCATTGTCAATGCGTAAAGGATGCGATGACGGCTATTGGCATACTTTTTTCACATTTTTTTCGCACTTATAAATTAATTATTATGAAGTATTACATATTTTCAACTCCACCTAAAAATATTGTTCACGAGAGTTTGGAGGATTTTAAAAATGCAAACGACGATGTACCTATCGTTAAAGCATAGAGGATGATCGCAAACGTTTATTGTATCAAATTTTCACACACGTAAATTATTATTATAATTTACTTTGGTATTTTGTAGGAAAAATTAAATTACATTATAAAATAAAAATAATCCATAACAATTAACGTACTAGTGTGAAAAATGTGGGAAACAAATGTGCAACACTTGTGTTTGCATCCTTTGCACTTGAATGATGGTTACATCATCGTTTGGACAAGTCCTTCAAACCCTCATGAATAGTATTATTTGTTTGAGTGCAAAACTAATAAACATTCATAATAATATTGTACAAGTGTGAAAAAAGTTATTAAAAAAAATACAAAAACTCGTTTGGACTTTTATGAAGAGGTCAACTTCAAGATTTGACATCATAATTCATAATCCTTATATTTATATTTAATCGTTGATGTCGTTTACGTTTATGGTTCATTTTTCTGATTAGTTTTCCTTTTTCAAATTTTCTTTTTTTAAAACATGATCTTTTAACGATTGCAAAAAGATGAACGGTTTAGATCGTTGATATCACTTTTAAATTTTTACAGTTAGTGAAAATGTTGCTAAGATTTTATAGTCAACAATCCAAACCGTTTATCTCTGCATCCGCTAAAAAAATCATGTTTAAAAAAAAAATTGTGAAAACAAAATTTGGTGAGAAAAATGGAGCGTAAATGTAAACGATAATCGAGTTGACCCCTTGGCAAAAGTTGTTGAGCTTATCATTACGAGCATTTGTATATTTTTGTTTACATTTTTCACACTTATACATCAATCATTATGAATTTTTATTAATTTTGCACTAGATGATTCCTTACTGGATTAGGTTTTCGTGTCTTGTGGAATAAGCATGGTTTTTCCTTAAAGTGAACGGTACCGAGAGTTTTTCGTTAAAATTCCCTTTAAAAAAATCTTTAAATGATGATAAATAGAAATAAATAAGAATACTGCTAAACTCACCTCATTGTCTTATTTCTCCACCGACATTTTAATGAAAATGTTAATTACTTATTGAAACCTCCACCAAAATTTGACAAATCTAATTATTAATATTATTTTTATGCTTTCTTTAAAAAAAAATTTATATAGTTTTATTTTTTTAGACTCTTCGTTTTCTTTTTTTTTTTCAAGTAAAGGTCTTGAGAGTATCATCATGTTATTCTAAAAAAGAAAAAGAGGGAGGGAGGAGTTCAAGATTTAAAAAGAAATTATATATGGTGGTAGAGTTCGATGGAAAAATGAATAATGTTTCCTTTTATATCATAAGTTTGAATACAACATTTTCTGTTAAATAAAGAAGTTTTATACTCGATTAATCCATAGATTTAGGTGTAAGTCCACATGACATTCCTTGAGTGGAAAAGTAAAGAAGGTAAGTAGGAAAATAGCTATCATTTTTGAAAATATAAAAATACATTTTGAAGGTGTCATGATGAGTCAAATATTATAGCAAATTAAGGTAAGTAGGGCCCATGAATAAAGGAAATAGATGACAAAAAACAAATATAGCATTCACTATTTAACAAAGGCGAAACAAACCATCAAATAATTTCAATACTTGAGAATAAACACATATATTCATATATATATATATATATATATATATATATATATATATATATATACAATTATATCATTCGGGGTGAATATAGAAATAGATACGAATCGGAAACTAATGTAGTCGTATTCAAAATTGTAATAAAATAACATTCTTAATTTTTTTCATATTAAAAAATACCTAAATTTTAATCTTCAAATTCGTCGCATTCGGATGATTATCGACGTCATAAATTTAACGGGTTAGATTGCTATCTCTATATATTAGATCAAGTTAATGCCTTGTCCTTTAGTTGTACCAACCGGTGGACTTGGTGTTATTTGTTTTGTCTTTTGATTGGACCGTGATTTAGGGCATGATGCACCCACAGGATTTTCGCGGAAACATCCGAACATTCTTTCCCTCTTCATTTGGTCTTCTTCGCTACTCTCTCTCTCTCCCTCTCCCCCTCCCTCTCCCTCTCTCAGGTCCTAAAACCACCATTACCAACGGCAACCCCGGCACTACAACCACCTTCCTGAAAACCCCCAATTCCCCAAATCCAAAACCCTAAAATCGAGTATAAGCATCCCCCCACCCTCATCAATTCTCTGCAATTTCAGACGAATCCGTTCTCCCTTTTCAAGTTCGGAGCTCAAATTTAAGGTAATATCACTATACGAGGTCAACTTTCAGTTTTAGGTGTTAGGGTTTTTGTTTAATTTCAATATCAGTGAGGGGTTTTGTGGAGGGGTGTCAATTCAGTTGGGGGTTCAATTGCAATTTCATTTTCAGGTGCCAGTTAGGGTTTTGAAGGGTTTCAGTTTAAATTTTGGCTTCAATTTTATTAGTGTAATTGTACAGCAACAACAACAACAACAACAACGAAGCCTTTTCCCACTAAGTGTGGTTTATTAGTGTAATTGTAATCCCTCTAAATTTGTGTAACGTAGGTAGGGGTTCTTTTGTTGGAGAAGGAGTTGACCATTGAATTGGGGGCTTTTGCTGCACCTGCAGGTTAAAATCTCAACCTTTTGCCTTCTGTGAATGTATTGGTTGCTTGCTGTGAATGTTCTGGTTGCTTGCTGTTAATGTGAAATGGTGAATTGAACTTTGAATGTAATTTATTAGATTTGCACACTAACAGGATTACTTTACTCACAAATTTATTAATATATGCAGTGGAAAAGGTCATGAAAACATTTAAAACAAACTCAAGGTATATTGTATTCCGTTTCAAAATTTAGACTTGGAGTAATAGAAAAATCTTGCATGAGGTGGACATGGTTGAGAGAAGGGGAGAGAAGGAAAACATAAAGAAACTAAGGGGCAATTACGGTTTGAATTGTACTTCTATTGAGTCATCATTTGACGACAAAGAAATCTCCCTCCAATGTTATAGGTGGTTGGCTTTCATCTCTGTGTATTCATTTTGAGAGTTCTTAGCAAATGAAGAGATGTCAGAGGGGCTTACCAGAGACAGCTTAGAACCATTAGGCTTTTTCCTTATATACTGAACCAGTGTTCTACTATGGTCAGTAACTTGAATTTCATAAAAATTAGTTTGTCTTTCAATAATTTGAGTTAAGATCACAATTAAAATTTTGCTGGAATGATAGACATAACAGTCCTTTCCCAATGGTTTTGAGGAGGACAATTTTTGTCTCCTACAACCTTTGTTAAACAATCTATGAAAGTTGAAACAATAGGAAGGACTCGGTCGTTGCCTTCTACAAATAAAACCAAAAAATACAAAGTTAGTTTAGCATTCAATGTCAAACCTAGATTAACCATATTGGACCCAACACAAAATAAACGCAATGAAACATGGGCATCACAGATTTCAAACTGAAATTGGGACAAATGTTGATGGAGCACCACTAACTAATCAAAGTTGTTCCAGTACTTGAGTGTTGAGTGACTTCTTATGAGTCCTGCAAGTTCCTATATTTCAACACCAATCAGAAGAGGGAAGGGGGATTTTGGTTGAATTTTTTAAAAACCCACATGTTCCCTTGGTCAATTAACTACCCTAAAACAGTAGAATTTCATTTATAAATGGAAATCAAGTTTTAATTCCCTTTACACGTACAAATCCATATTTTTTTTTTTCCGTCTCAAGTAGTTAAGTCCCTTTTCACATGCGAATCCATCTCTTTTCATTTCAAGCAGTTATTCTTTTGTGTCATTCACAAACTGTATCAGCATATACCTTTTTCTACTCCAGTATTTTATCTGCACTTTCCCATTACCCCATCGCATTTTAAATTTGCTATACTCTCCTTCATAACCTTTGGGTTATTTATTGTAGTTTTTGAATTCCAATTCTTGATGTTGGTCTTAGGACTTCTAACCTTTCTGTTGATAAGGGTTCGGTTTTTGAATTTCAGATTGGATATTAGATATTGTTTTAAGTTCATTTTGGAGGGATTTACTTGACCTTCGGTTTTTAGCATGCAGGTTGCCAAAACTGAATTGAATTGTTCTTCCATTTATAGCATGCAACACTGAATAATATTTAGCCAAATACGTATATTTTCTCTGGCCTAGTTGAGGTTGAGATTCAGGCAGCTGGGAAGTGGTGTTTAAGCTTCAATTTCAAGTTTTGGCTACAGTTTCAAAGTTTATCAGAATGGTTTAACTTTGTGAGACACTGTCAAAGTTAAATTGGTAGCTGGTGTGAGTTTGTTGGAGTTTTGTTCAAGATGGATAACTCTGCAAACATGCATAATGATCATTTGGGTGTGAACAAAATGGGGAAAAATATAAGGAAGAGTCCTTTGCACCAACCCAAATTTGGTAATAATGACGCCAGGCAACAACCTCAACCTCAGGTGTACAATATAAGCAAGAATGACTTCCGGAACATTGTTCAGAAGCTTACTGGTTCGCCATCGCAAGAACCTTTGCCTAGACCTCCCCAGAATCCGCCAAAGCCCCAAAGTATGCGATTGCAGAGAATTCGACCTCCCCCATTAGCACCTATCAACAACAGACCCTTAAACACACCTCCAGCTCCTCTTCCTGCAGGCCCACCACAGGTTCCCTACAATAATAACTTTGTTAGGCCTCCTCAGTTTGGACATCCATCACCTACACCAATGCCACCATTTCCACATGGAGATTCAATGTGGCAAAATACAGCTGAATCTCCTATCTCAGCATATATGCGGTACCTTCAGAGTTCAATGTTAGATCCAACTCCAAGGGGCAACCAACCTCAGCCTCAACCACAAGTTCCAGGTCAAATGCAGTCTCAGCCACCATCAACCAGTTTACTTCCTAACCCATCCGTATCTGCTCACCCACCCCCGAGAATGAATGCCCCTGGGGCACATGCGCCTAATCTACAGCACCCACAGATGAATGGTCCTCCCCTCTTACCGTCACCAACTTCACAGTTTTTATTGCCATCCCCAACGGGTTACATGAACTTGTTGTCTCCACGGTCACCTTATCCATTGCTTTCACCTGGGATGCAGTTTCCTCCACCATGGACCCCCAATTTTCAGTTCTCTCCAATGGGCCAATCAGGGCTGTTAGGTCCAGGGCCTCAACCCCCACCTTCTCCTGGCGTTTTGTTTCCATTATCTCCTTCAGGGTTTTTCCCCATTTCAAGTCCAAGATGGAGGGATCATCACTAGTTGGCACAACATTGTTAAGCATGTGAGTCCATACATTCCCTTGTGCTATTTCTTTATGTGGACTCGTCGTCTACTTGTAGGAGCTTCTTTTGTGAAAAATATATTGTATACTGGTAGCGTAAGTGGCTTTTTGGGCTACCCGTAATGTTCGCTTCTCTTTTCTTTATTTTTCTTTTGTTGACACCTTCTCTGCAGCTTTTTTGAATCTTGAATCTGTATCAGCTCATATCTTTTCTTCTAATTTTGTAATGTTTTGATTAAATTGTAGTTTGTTGTCAATTTTCTTCTTCAGTTAACTGGCAAATGGAGGGAATTTCGCATTAGCAATTATAGATTCGTTGTACCTTGTTACGTTCAATCATGAAATCATTGCTGTGTTGATCTTAGGTTAATGAATTGCAGAATTGATTCTCTTTACGAAAATATATAATGTAATATTTTTGTGAAACACGAATGTTGTTCACGCGTTATTGTGTTTACTAGCTTTGTCTTGAATGTTCTTCACTTTGTTCAAGTATTTTACTACTTGTGTAAACTCTAGGGGATTAAAAAAGGTGCAGGGTTGTGTATATATTTGTTGAAACATTCGATGACCTACTTAGTTACCGTAGAACAACGAACATGGATGTTTTATAGCTTGAGGAGAAGTAATCCTTACATTTGAGACTCAACTTACACGAAAATATCGGTAGTCCAAAAACACGGAAATTTCGATGGAAATATCGGGATATTATGGATATTTTAGACCATGATTAGAATCGATATGCACTAACAGCTGGAAAGCATGGACTTGATGGAACAAAGTGTTGGACAGGTCCTAGTCATTACCCTAAACTCCTCATCATCTTTCCAGCAGACCCTCCGCCACTAATCTCGCATATTAGTCCCGCTCCATCGTCACAAATCTAATTGACGCAGAACCAATCGACTACCGCCACCGTAGGCGTAGATCCGTTCCACCAACGCCACGCCGACACCGCTAATACGTTCCACCATCGTCACAAAATCTAAAGCATACAAGTAATCATATTACTAGTGTTTTTGTGAGTTTTGCTCAATTTTTAGATTAAATAGCCAAAATTCCTCTTTCAACCAGTCTCGTACAACTCATTGTTCAAACTCGAAGGCCTAAATAACACCTTTGAGTCTTTGGCTGGGCGGTCGTACCCATCTCCCGCTAAAACAAGCGAGTACATGCTTGCACAACATTCTTTTTTTTACGTAAAATTTTGACGGAGAATAATAAAACCTTGTTTTTCATCTCTTCAAGGAACGCGAAAACACGGGTCCCACAGAAAACAACACACCCGACCCAACCCAAACCCCTCAAAACGGACCTGTTCTTGTTCTTACTCTTGGGTCATCACTCATCAGGTGTTCCAATTCCTTTTTCCAAATATTAATAAAAAAATCGTTACACAAAGTTGACAAACTGCCGCCCCCGAAAACCCGTTATCTGGTTCGGTTTTGTCTAATGACCACCAAACCGCCTGATCAGGAGGCGGTTCGCATGGATGCTTGTCCGACCACGACTTCCTTCTTCCTTGGAGGGACAACGTTGAATCTTTTAGTTTGATTCCGACCAGACACCAGACAATACCAGAAACTGAAACGGTCTGTAATTTTTGTCTTCTTTTTGTCTGGTTTTTTTTTATCCTTTCCTTTTTCTTTTCAGTTTCCTTAATCTTTTTATTTGATTCCGGTTGATGTTGGGTTGATCAGATTCTTGGGTCAGGGACAGAATTCGACGTGTATTGGTGTTTTTCCTGGAATTCCAGCCAGCTCAGTTTGAATTTTGACTCGAGGTAGGCCTTTTTTGATTAATTTCATGAAAACCCTTTTATTATTTTCAATTTTCTTAATCTATTTTCCTAATCTCAAATAAAATGGAACAATTTTGGGTTTGAGATTTTTTTTTTTGTCAAACTATAGATTTTGTTAGATTAGATGTTGCATTAGTTACCGACAGAATTCAAACCACGTCATCATGCAATGATTCAACTTCTTTCCACCACTATGGTAAATGTCCACTTGCGAGGGTTTGGGATATTGGGTTTTGATGCATGCATGGTTATAAAGTTGTAATCTTGATGATCAAATGTCATTAAAACCCTTGTTTTCGTTTCGTGTTTTTTTTTTGGTACTGGCAGAGGATCTTGAGATTTTGATTGGCTTTTGTTTGATTAATTTCTGTCGGGATTGCTGTATCAGGAAATTTTTCGCCGTCTGAGCCGGAATGGAACAATTCCGGCATATTGGGGAGGTTTTGGGAAGTATGAAGGCTCTGATGATGTTAACAGATGAGATTCTGATCAATCAATGCCAGTGCTGTTTGTTGCATGATGTGTTCACGTTGGCGTTTGACACGATCGGAGAGGAGATCCGACTGAACTTGAAACTCGAAGAGAAGAAGACAAAATGGAAAGCGCTCGAGCAGCCTCTGAGGGAGCTGCACAGAGTTTTCAAGGAAGGGGAGCTGTACATTCGGCATTGCATGGATGCAAAAAACTGGTGGGGGAAAACAATCCTCCTCCATCAGAACAAGGACTGCGTCGAATTTCACATTCATAACTTGTTCTGCTACCATGCGGCCGTGATTGAGGCGATTGAGAATGCTGGAGAGATTGCGGGGCTCGATCAGGAGGAGATGCAGAAGAAGAGGATTCTGCTCGCAAGGAAGTATGATAGAGAGTGGAATGACCCCAAACTTTTCCAATGGAGATTTGGGAAGCAGTATTTGGTCCCGAAGGCGATCTGCAACAGGTTGGAGAGTGCTTGGAGGGAAGATAGATGGCGGCTTGTCGAAACTCTGAAGGTGAAAAAGATTTCAGGATCCTTTGGTTTGACGAGGAATGAGCAGCAACTTGGAGACTTGCTGCTCAAGAAACTTGGTGGGTCGGAAACCTTAAATGGGAAGCTCTTTCCGAGCTCAATCTTACTGGAATCCGACTATTACAGCGTTAGGCGGTGGTTAGGAGGAGGAACGCAGTACAAGGAGATCCAGTGGTTGGGGCAGAACTTTGCCATGAGACACTTCTTTGGGGATATTGAGCCGTTGAATTCTGAGATTTCAACTCTCCTCGCACTTTCCCACCCCAATGTGCTGCAGTACCTTTCGGGGTTTTATGACGAGGAGAAGAAGGAATGCTTTCTTGTTATGGAGTTGATGATCAAGGATCTGCGCTGCTACATGAAGGAAAACTGCGGCGCGAGAAGGCAGGTTTTGTTTTCAATCCCGGTAGTGGTTGATATCATGCTTCAGATTGCAAGAGGCATGGAATATCTGCACTCTAGGAAGATCTACCATGGGGAGTTGAACCCCTTGAATGTCTTTCTCAAGGCAAGGAGCTGCACAGAAGGCTATTTCCAAGTAAAAGTCTCGGGTTTCAGTTTATCATCCGTGCGCAAACCTACTTACAGAAAATCACAGCAGAAGAATGAAATCAACCCTTTGATTTGGTGTGCCCCGGAAGTCCTAGCTGAGCAAGAGCAACCAGGAAACAAAGGTCGTACCAAATACACGGAGAAAGCGGATGTATACAGCTTCGCAATGCTTTGCTTTGAGATCTTGACCGGGAAGGTTCCCTTCGAAGATTCACATCTCCAAGGGGACAAGATGAGCAACACTATAAGAGCAGGATGGAGGCCTCTCTTCCCATACCCTTCACCAAAATACCTCGTCAATTTAACCAAGAGATGCTGGCACAGTGACCCGTCTCAGCGCCTGAGCTTCTCGTCCATCTGTCGCATTTTGCGCTACATAAAGAAGTTCCTTACTCTGAACCCCTATGACGATCAGCCTTTACTGCAATCCCCTCATATGGATTACTGCGAGATAGAGTCATGGTTCCTGAAGAATAGTTCAGCTGCCGAATACGTTGATTTATCCTCAATATCGCAACTTCCATTCCAAATGTTCTCTTACCGGCTAGGGGAGAAGGAAAAGACTAGCCCGGACATCGTGAGGGTTAGGAGTCTGGATTCCTTAAGTGATACAGCATCAGCGATTTGCAAGCAAGAATCTCCGAACGGCAAAGTTGACATTGTGTCCATTGCAGAAGATCCATTCGTACCACTAAGCGACTCGAGGTCCGTTTGCTCTGATGTGAGGTCTGTTTATGATCTGAGGTCAGTTTGTTCCGAGGCTCCGATGAAGAGAACTCTCACTGCCAAGAAACATCAAGACGCGACAGCTAGAAAAGCCTCAGGTCAGCCACTAATTTCACCTTAATCCATTTCTGTACGATCAGCTGATTACATTTTTAAGCTCAGGGGCTTCTGTACTTTCTCCGTTAACAATCTTGACTGGGAAAATGTTGATCAGGTTACACCAGGACATCAAAAACACCAACCACACCAAGGACGTCAACACCAAGACTTGCGTCGCCAAGATTTCCACCGCCAAAACTTGCTTCACCGAAACTTCTGCCTGCAAAACCATGTCAACACAGTATGAAGACAAACCAAAGCCCTCCACTGCCGAGTCCTACGAGCACAAAGAGTAGTGCGAGCCGAAGCAGGCACAGAATGAGGGGGCACGTTTCGGACTCGGAGATACATTAGGCTTTCTTTTGTTTCACATCATATATATACATATAGTCAAGTACAGATCAGTTTTTGTTCCCTTCCATTTAACTAGAAATCTCTGTAAATTTAATCTTCTTACTGTTATAGGTCCATTAGGCTTGAACATCTTATAGTAAAGTTTTTCGTTTTCAGTTTTTATGTTCTTGCAGGGCATTTATGTGAACGTAATTCCACAGATCGTCTTTCATGCAACTTGTTCTCTATTTATTTCTCTTTTTGTACACTCATGTTTATTTCCTATTCCGCTTTGATTTATTCTCTCAAAAACCAGAAATAAACAAGGGTGTGAAGGGGAAAAAGGGTCGTGCAGAAATCATCACATGAAGAATGTGGTTTCTAATTCAAGTTACAATTCAGCGTACATAGATGCAAGATAAAATTAAAAGGACACGATCCATACCTTTATCAAGATGTTTGGCTATGGTTGACAGATGACATAAATTTAAACTGCAAGATAAAATCGCGCAATCGCATATGAGATGCAAACTCAATTCTGTGGTCTCCCAAAAACGACTGTCCTACAAATCTGGTCACCGAGAGTTCACGATAGATGAACCCTATTTTCTACACTCTACTGAAAACAACTCAACTGAGATCGTCTTCGTTGGAAGTGTTACAAATGCTTTTCGGATGTTTTTCTCAACAAGCAGCTATGACTCTAAATGAATAGCGTAATATTGAACATAGATTCTGACCTAAATAGCTGACCACATTATGTGATAGCTAGTGTGAAAATGATTGACCAAGCTGTTCCAAGAATATATGTTAATCTGCAACCTGCTTCCCCTGATTTCACATTCGGTCAAAATTTAAAATTTTTGAAGCTGAGTACCCCAAACAAATCCTCAAGTCTCCTTTATTCATTGCAATACGACACTGTTTAAACCTTGTCAGCTCTCGTGCTGGTATGACAATCTTCAGATTTGAGGATTCAAAATGTTTTCATAATCAGCTGATGTCCATCAGATACTATATTTTGCAGCTAATTTGTACAACATCAGTCATTCAGTCGTTTTGGCACCTATCAAACAAGGATGTGGCTAGAACCCAAGGTTTCTCCGTTCCATCTTACTTTCTAAGGTTTCTCCGCATGAACTTACAGTTTCCACTTTATAGTTGGCCACCAGAAGAAAACTCAAGAAGGTTTCAAAAGGATAATGACTTCTTAATTGATGTGAAAGGAGTTACCTTTTCCTTAAACAATCTGCAACACTTTTATACACCCGTCTGAATTGGCAGCAACCACCATGTCTGATTTCCCTCTCCAGCAGACACTCGAAACCCATTGTGCACTATAATCATTGGTCTCCTTTCCAGAAATAGGATCAATGGAGCCAAACTTGTGTGAAGTGATCGGCATAGGCAGAGATCTATGGTAAGCATAAACCTGGAAGATATCAACACAAAAGGTTAAAGTAGTTGATTATATTATGATTAGACTGTATATCTCGCACAAGCACTGTCTAGAAGTTACTAGCTCACCTTCAATATTTCCTTTTACCTGTTTTTATTTTTGGTTTAATATTTCCCTATAACTCAACTAGAAGCCCATTCGTTCTTCATTTTATTAATACAAGTACCATGTAGCATGGGAATTAAATATGCACCTCATTTGTTTCTGAACCACAAGCTATGTAATCATCTGAAACGGATAACCCGACAAAGTTCTGGGGGAGTAAGCATCCAAAGTGTGACCAACCGAGAAAAAGAAACATAAACTTGGTCAGACAGTTACAATGTAGTTAGAGCAAGTGTTATCTAGATCTCAAAATCGCACAGAAATAAAAATAGGTTCTAGCATAAAGAGCCAATAAAAAAATTAGTGGGGTAGCCAACCTTCTCATTGGTGTGCCCACCAAGGCTTAGGCTGCAAGCATCGGTGGATGTATCACTCATACTGGTTTTGCTAAGATCCCATAGCTTTAATGTGTTGTCAGTGGATGCAGAAACAAGGGTCTCTGAGTCCAAAAATTTCACATAGCTTACAGCTTTCTTATGCCCATCCAATACGCACCACGGAATTTTAGTATTACGGAGATCATAGCAGTAGGTGTAGTAGTCCGCACTCCCGAAGGCCAGCAAATGAGAGGAGTGAGAAGAGAACTGTACACAGCATACATTTGCAGCGTGCTTGATGGTATCTAAACTGTTTCTCTGAAAGAACCATCCCCAAAAAAAGGGATTTCAGAAGCATCACAGAAAATCTTAAGTAGTAATCAGTACCAAAATGAAGAAGTTCCAAAGTGAAACACAAATATGTCTGGCATCATTTGGCCACAATACCTTTACGGAGATAGTGCTAAATTTTGACCACCAAAAGCCCCATCAGCACTTGTGATGAGGCACTGATGCAGATAATATGGAAACATTTTATTGGGGTTAGTTATGTCAATTGAGGATATCATATTGTACTTTAACTTTGGAATTTTTATATTGTGTCGGCCTTGCTTGATTGTAATTGAGATTTATTAACTATTAGGAGTTGTCTTCCCCTAACTACAGTTTCCGTATTAGCTGGGTTTGGACTGCCTATCATATAATACGCCTTATTGTTATTGACAATCCGAACCCAGTTACAAATAAAGCTAATGAGAAAACCCCGATAATAATGAAAATCAAATCCTAGCTAAAAAAATCCCAACAAAAATTAAGCAAGGCCTACATAACACAAATGTAAGACATAAAACCTAATGTGAAATCCCAAAATGCAGAAATGTATAAAAATGTCCACGTTATCTGGCCGTTCTCTTAAGGGTTTCTCAAATATGCTGAATTACTTTCGATCAGCAAGATTTGTAGATCAGCAGCAAACATAACTCATTTAAATAAGAATCATAAGAAATCAAAGAGTTTCTTGAATAGTAAATTTGCATCTTAAAGTGAGCAAATCCTATGATTTATATACAATGGAAAAAGACAGAAACACACACACAAAATAGTAAATTTGAGTCTTAATATGAGCAAATCCTGTGGTTCATGAGAGAGAGAGAGAGAGAGAGCATGCCTCGTTGATGCTCCACAATTTCACACAACCATCATCACTCCCAGTGGCTAATTTTGTAGGATATACTTGAGAAAAGTCTACAGACCAAGCCCTCATTGCATGCTCAGTGTATTGAGCAAACTCTTGACCAGTGCTGGCATCCCATAACTGGATATCAATATAAGTATATATTACGTTATATGCAATGCAAGTATTAATTAAAAATAAGGGCAAGCAATAGTCACTTATTAGACAATATATTGGGGAAAAATGAGCCACGAACAAATCCATGAGAAAAGACATGGATAGACAAAGCTTAAATAGTCATAGATCTCTATTAGACTACTTCTGTGACACATATATCAAAAGGATGAACATGCAGATGCTATCAGGTCAACATTCAGACAGCAATATTTTTTTTCGGGTGAGGATCCCGGAGATCCTCAAATCACATCCGTTCATCACATAGTGCGGTCAGAAATTATTGTAATTTTTTTTATTTAAAATTGAATATAAACAGTACCTGACCAAAACTGGACGCATGATGTACGATGAACGAATGTGATTGGAGGATCCCCGGGATCTTCACAAAGAGGATCCGGCGAGGATCCTTTCTCTTTTTTTTCAGTAACACAAAACAGTCAATATGTCACAGGATATACAGACCTTGATTACACCATCATAATCAGATGAAGCCAGATAGTTTTTTATATAGTTGTTCCAGCAAACACAGCTGATCCTTGATTTGTTTGACATCTCAATCACTGGATAATGAATATCAGCAGGATTGTTGAAGAAAGCATTAAACTCAAAAATCTTGATTTTCATTGAAACCCCGGCAGTAGCAAAATAGTCTTCATCCCGATCAAAACTCATAGAGGAAATTACTTTAGAGGAACTGCTGAAATCTCCATTTCTTAGTATACCACGTACTTCAAACTTACTATACCGAGCATATTTACACAAACCATCAAAGATGGCTCCCGGTCGATCAGTGCATATCTCCTTGTCTTCATCCTTTGTTCCCACATACCAATTATTGCGAGTTCTTAATAAATCTTTATCGCTGCGTATTCTAGAATCCGTCTCAGGAATCTGAATTCTTGATCTCATCAAGAAGTAAGCACTCTCAAACTGATCTATATTTTTCATCAACCTCGACTCATTTGAACTAAGAACAGGAAATAATGGAGAAAGCACCTCTGACCTTGAATCTTCTTTGCTAATGAACATATTTTTCCTTAAGGATTCACCGTACAAGCCACAATCAATCAAGGGTTTTCTTGCAGAGTGCCTCCTCTCCACTTCTTCAACATCTGCTTCTAAGAACTGAACTGTTTCCAACAAAGTTGCATCATGGTTCTGCATCTGTTCTTTCAAAGAAGTGAGGAAATGCAATAATAAATCCAATTCTGCGTCCTCTTGTTCCACAGAAGGTGACAATTCTTTTACACAAACCTCCTGTAACCCGTTAAGTACTTCAGATTGTAGAATTTGCCTGTCATAACCAATGATCGCGTCACCCAAAAAAAAAAACAATGATCATAAACTCAGAAGTCAGGATAGTGCATCAGACTACACATTGAGGTTCCATTTTAAATTTTCTTATATATTTTTTTTTGGATGTGATCAAAGTGATTACAGACCTAATACAACTTTCATCCAGTACAGGTTACACTTAAGTATTCACTAAAGGAGCCTGAGGGCACTTCAGAAGGGTATTGAGAGACTGAACAATAAAATCAAACTCTAATCATTTGTACATCCAAAACAAACCTGGAAGATCATTGATGAAAAATGAAAAATTGAAGGATGATGAGGTTAACATACAAAGCTTCAAGCCTTCAGTACATGATGATTATTATTTTCCTAAAAAATAAAAAGCATTATCCAATATCCACAAGTTTCTATCGACCATTGAAAAATTTCTTGAAAAAAATAATCCTCCACGTGAACCAGGTTTATTTCAATTGTAATTCAAGGTAATATTAATTAACTATAATAGTGGAGCCCTAGAACATGGTATGGGAATAGGATTTTTAAATTCAGGTTTCACATACTATTTATGGTCTTCAATTTTCTCCAATTGCATTTCAATCTCATTGGGTTTTTCTATGTATTAATAAACATGTATAACACCTATTTGGACCATCCTTGACACCACGACTTATGGTTCAATCAACTAATATCTACAAGATATCTTTTATGGAACAAATATTCTAAATATTACTCCCTTCCAATATTACCTTCAAAACTGTTTACTTAACACTCATAGATTCAAAATTTCCGTACCCTATGTCAACTAAAATGTTATGAACTCACATGACAACGGTTCAGGACTACCTTGTCGTTGGGCGTGAAGATGGTTCAGGATGAAGAAGCCAAATAATAAATCCAGCCTCCATAGCATTTTCTGACAGAAATTTTGGGGGAAGAATTCTGTAGCACAGGTTGGACATTGCTGCAGCAAGGGCGCTATTTGAGTCAAAATGAGCAAGTAACTGAAAGCAAAGACCCAAATTAATCCATCAGATTTTTCATTCAACTCGGAGAAGAAATATAATGTGTCAAATGCAGAAACATTAATCAATTTGCACCTCGAAAAGAAGAACACCAAGATCATAGACATTTGATAAAACTGTGTAACTTCCTTCACTGAGTTCCTCAGGACTAATATACCACTTCTCTTCCAATAGCTCATTTATTGAAGTAAACTGCTGAGTTGCATAATGCATATGAGGACTGGTGAACATGGTACGTATCTCATGCCTTATTCTTGGATGTTGTTCACCAAATGCATCACTTTTGTTCTGCAAACCAGTGATGTTGATGTGGCTGTTATTCACATTATCATGCATGAAGTAGGAAGTGGTAGAGAACTGGGGCCATTGCAATCTAGTATTCTCACTGACCCTTTGCTTTTTCCTTACTGGACTATTTTCTAAAAGAGATATATCTCTCTTCTTCGTACTCTCAAGCATCTCGCTTGGGACTGGTAAGCCAACATACTTAACCTGATTTGAAGGTAACAACTTGAAGAAAGAAGGTCGCAATCCAGGCAAAGCAACTCCTTTAGAATGAAAATTATCCACCAGATCCACTATCTGTCTAAATATATACAAGCATTCAGCTTTATTCGCTTTAGGACGTCCAGTATTCAGCCATTCTCTCAAACTGTTTTCATCATGATAAGAGCCACCAGCCGTACGTCCAGCATTAACACCATTGGAAGAAGGCATAATAACATTGGCATCCATACTCATTGTTGGATCAGAAGCTGCCAAAGGATCACCGGCCACCTTTGAACTATTCAGGTTTCTAGATTCAATGTGACAATTCTCATGGTTCAGACCCTTCATTATGACACCCTTACCCTTCAGTGTATTCTTAACAAAGAACTCGGAAAAGCCTGGCCTAGATAGAATTTTTGTTCGGATACCTGCATAAGTATTGCCTGAAGCCCCTGTATTTTCAATGTTTGTTAATTCTTCCACAACATCATAGTGATTGTCACTTAATGCCCTTTGATTCCAAAAACCGGAGACAGATGTGGACCCCTCATTCTCCAAGCCACCAGAAATTGCCTTCCCATTATCCTTGAATGCAGTATTGACTTGTGAACTCTCACTTCCTGATCCACTTGCTAGCTGAAATAAATGTTGTTGTGGGTTCTGCCAAAATTGCATTCTTCCTTGATTGTTGTAATTTCTCACAGTTGGCTCTTCCTCCATGGAACCAACATCATTCATAGAGCCAAGGCTACCATATGGGTGTTCTAATTCGTTAACAGGGCTCATAGCCATATCTACATTCTCTACAAACTCATGCCGCGAGCTTAAGGGATAATCACCCTCAACTGGTATACGCATCGAATAATCACATTCACCATATGTACACATTTCTTGGCATTCCAATGGGTTGCCGTTTTCAGATTTAACTGAGTGCTCATTCTCTTTCCTCTCACGTTGTACAACCTCTGCTAAATCTAATGGGGTCACTTCCTCATCCACTGCATCCTCCATAATGTCTAAACTGATTTCATTCAACAAAAATCTTCAAGGCCAATAAGGGGATTTGTTCGCTGAGAGACCGTGTGCAAGTACCTAAATCATTCCGCAAAGAGTGATAAAAACTGTAAGACTATAAGAAAGGCAAAAGCAATAGCATGCAACCACCGCTTCACAATGATACTTAGATATAGTTCCAGTCAATCTGAACTGAAATTCAAGATCAATTCATCAACCTTCAAACGTCTTCCGAATTTTATGTACACATAAAAACATAAAAAACAGAACAAAGAGAACCAAAGTTGATCAAAATTCTTCATGTACACAGTACAACATGTTAACAACAGCAATACCTACTTAATTACAAACACTTGATGCACAAGTTAATTACACAAATACATAAACTAATCAAAATTACAGGAAATTTAGTAATTTTCAAAAAAAAAAAAAAAAAACAGAGAAATTCAAGTCTCACCTAAGACTAACAAGTAATAACCAATAACTCAGCTAACAAGTATCAACTTATCCCACCTCCAACATTTCTATCTCCAAATTTTCTCGGCAGCCAAACAGAAAGTACAATTGAAACTCAAAATCCAAAATCCCAGCAATTAATGCACACACACTCACCTGAATTGGAGCTTCCATGCCAAACCGCGAAACGCCGACGGCTCAGTTCTCCGAAGCAGGAAGAATCAGAAAGAGGCAAAAATTGGAGCTCAAAAACCCTAAGGAGAGAGCCAAAGCTGAAGAACAACTGAAGAGAGAATCAAAACCCAAAGCATGAAAGTATTTCCTTTTTTTATGCCAGAAATGGAAAATATCATCGCCTTCGCTATTTGCCGACAATTTTCTCGCTTTGTTATTTTCTTTTTCTGCAAAAAAATTTCAGGTTTTACGAAATTAATTTTCCAAAACTCCTTGTGCACAAAAAATGGAAAATGGGGTTACATTCTTGTTTGTTTTTGGGGAGTTTTAATAAACACTTCTGTTGTTGTCTACTTTTTACGTAAAGGGTATTTTTATTCTAAAAAATCATTCATGGTATTATTAATTTACAATACATTTTTGCTCTTTTGATTAAAACTCAAAGTTTTCAAGTCATTTTCATTAATTTTCCCAACGAAACACTCATAATACGGTTTACTTTTAACATTAAAGATATTTTTATTCTAAAAAGTCATTTTGATACTATTCACGTATTTTTATGACAATTTTTAATTTTTAATAAAAAGTAACGGCATAAATAGAACTGTTGCTGTTAGCTGGACCAGCAAGCCCATTTGGTCTTACATGCGAATGTTTTTTATTATTATTTATTTATTTATCGAATTCGTGTGAATGGTTGAAATTTGATCTTACGTGCGAATGCATCTTGCACCCTAAGTCACGAGTTCAATTTTCTTCTTTCTCAATATCATTTTATTAAGAAAAAAATAAGAAGATAAAAGTGCAGCTTATGGATCAAACTAGTAATGTTAGGAAAACTAAATTTTTAAATCAAATTATGTAGTTGTTGATGGTTAGATTATTACTCAAGTGTTGATTAACATATTTATTTCCTATTAATGACACATTATCTATTTGCAAATTTGGTTTAAAATTTTAATTTTCCTAACATTATTTTGTACAAAAACTGTCACAACCCATCCCGAAAGATATTCTCTTATCCAAACATAATGTTAAGTTCTTTTTACCAATAAACATAGTGTTCAGCTCGTCATACCAATATTTTTTGTTGTTATTGCAAATTCTCTTTTAATAATGTGGAAAGCTAAATTCATAAATCTTAAGGCTAAAAAGAGAACTATAATATGCTATTCTTAATTGATTAGTGAGTATTATTGATGGTGCACAAGTCCTTGCTTGTTCGGCGTTCTACCAACTTAGTAGTACATAAATCAGCCAAGTTGGCTTTGATTTGGTTTCTCATTAGTTTGATATGTAATGTTCTCTTGAATGATTGCATGACTCTTTTGTCCAATTAAAAGGATATTTATAACATTTTTACCTGTGATTTAAACATTTTTATTCAAATTTAATGAATGAATTTCTATTGTTCAGCAAAAAAGACAAGATTAAGTACTCAAAACCCCCTAACTTTTTAGTGTCATTGCAAATTAATTTCAATTTTTTTTAACATTCCAAAAAAGTACTCAACCGATTAAAAATATCACATTCGTTAAGCCCCAGTTAATTTTTCAAGCATAGATTATATTCAAACCCGCTAATTGGGTATATCAGGGAGAATATTAAAATTAGTTGCCTCAAAATCTAAATTTTAAACATAGATTATATAATATGGAATCAAATGATCAAACAAGTGTTGAATTGAATAGAAGATGGACTTAAATTGAAATTACATTATGAGAGCAATCTCTTAACATAGAAGAGGGTTAAGAATTCGGATGGGTTTCAAGAAGCTTGTTTTTGCATATGTGATTTCCTGTTTCGTTGATTCTCGACTCGTAAAACTTCTAGTTCTTCTTTGGGGGCGATGAAGATGATTGTAGCCGCATCATGGCAGTCTATACTATTTCAGCAACCTCCATGACCTTCTTCTGATGTTGGCAGCTTAAGTTGTAGAGTGAAGTCGGTGGTTTTGCGTTAGGTTTGGAGGTGATGGCCTAATGGGAGTGGTGGAACTGTTAGTTGGAGGAGGCAAATGCGTCCCTTGCCTTCAATTCATTTTATAAACAAAATAAGCCTAGTTAATCTAATAGATTTTTAACTGGGGCTTAACGGATGTGACATTTTCAATATGTTGGAGACTTATTTAGAATATTTAAAAAGGTTAAAACCAATTTAGAATGACATTAAAAGGTTAATCCAAAAAAATATGTTTAACAAATTAGTTAGGTAAGTTGGGTAAAGTATTACATGTGCATTAGAACTAATATGTTGAACAAATTAGTTAGGTAAGTTGGGTAAAGTATTACATGTGCATTAGAATTGTTAGTTCGTTTCCTTTCTTGTAATAATGCATATTTTCCTCATGTTAATATAAAATTAGATCTTTTTGTACGAGATTGCTTCATGGATGGTAGAAAAGCTCTTGAACATGCATAGAAATCTCGATTTGTCAAACTATAGCTAGACTCGCTTTAAATGATGTGATGATGCTGGTTTCTTTTCATTGTTTATGATTCTAAATCATTCTCTACTCAAAAGATAACTCGTTGTAATATTTTAAAAGACAAAATTATACCACGAATATGAAAAATAAATTGAAAAAAAGAAAAGAAAAATGTATTACAAAATAGGTATTCATAAATGGATTAAGTCTATATTGGTGTTTAGTTTGATCCAGGGGCCAAAAATACTTTGCCATCTCATATGATATCAAGAATGTATGAAGATGGAGATTTGTCCATCATTAATGTTTGGTCAACTACCTCCTATATTCTAGAAATAACATAATTATATGAAGAAAATTTTGATAAGAAGCTTCAGATTTAGAGTGACGTCATTTCAATAAAGCATTTCTGATAAAAAAAAAACTTATTATAAACATGTTAGAAACCTTTATTGAAACTTCAAAGCACTTGATGTTAATTTAGAAATCGCTTTTATAACATAAAAGCATTTTTAAATGCATTTGCCATATTGTTTTTCCTAAGATCATCTTCAATTCATTAAACTAAGATTCATCTCGTGTAATCAGAGAATGATGAAACATTTTTTAGATGCCAAATATACCTTCCAAAGCAATGTTGGCAGTTAATTACCACTTTTTCACTAAAAAGTTAATTCGACAATTTCTTTCTTTTTTTTTTATAAATTTTTTGTGTCATTAATTTTATTCAACGAATCATTTTAATCAAATCAATTCCTAACAATACTATAGTCGCATTTTGTTAAATCATGTGGGACCCCAAAATTTAACTTAGACACTTTGTTCTTATCATTATGATTAACATTTTCGATTTGTGTTCTTAAAAAAAAAGATTTTAGGTTAAATTCTGGTAAAAAATAAAGAATTTAAACAACATTATTGTTAGTGCATTGTGAAGCTTAACTCATTCTCATTAAGTTATATCATGTGTTAAAAAATAAAAAAGAGGTGGTGGGAGGCAGAGAGAAGTGGGTGGCGCTCCAAGGGGCACGTTGGTCCAAAGACCAACATATGGGCTGCTGCATGTGCCACCCAACATGTTATCACGGTTAAATCACGTGCCCCATCATGGGGACAATGCCGCTAGTAACCATTCGGTTTGTTCATGCCATGTCATCGACCATTGTCGGCTACATGTGCTGGAGCTACGAGCACAAATTCATGGGTTGTTTTGGGCTTGAAAGGCCCTAATACCATATACTTGGATGAGAAGCAATCCCATGGTGCCCCCAGCTGTCCTGGCCCGGGTGGGTACCCCATTCTGTCGTACTAGGTATCGCATTGAGAGAAACTCAGGTAGCTCTCCCATCAACCAAGACCAAATGCAAAGGATCTCGAGCTTTTGTGAGAGGTATGTACATATAACGTGGTTAGGCGATTCTACCCAAGTTTTTCAGGTACTTGACCTACATTCGCTACCTATTTCAAACATCATCAGGTAGCAAATATGACAACGTAAAAAATTTGGTGTAAGAGAATGAAATTGTAACTTGCAAACAAGGTTCTAAAAGACGCTAGTCACTAGTCGGGCGGCAAGCTGGGGCCTAATGATTAGGCAGCTAGGCGGATTTAAGTAAATCTATTATATTTCGTGTAAATAAGTGTCTGTTTCTACTTAAAATATATATAATTTCATTCTAAACTACAAAATAGAATGACATATATATTAGGAAGTATTGGAACATAATTAAAACATGGGAAACATGCATATAATGTGTATTCATTTAAGCATTCAACAAGTCTCTTACAATTTATTGAAAAAAAATAAAATACAAAATGAAAGTTATCTATTTTTTGTTTAAGTGAGTCGCAACTTAGGCAGTCTAGGCGGGTGCCTCAGTAGCTCTAGGCACCCTTTCTTAATTTTCAAACGCTTAGGCATTAATCGGGGCAATGGCCAACCGCCTAGCACCTAGACAGTGCTAAGCGGGGATGTTTAGAACAATGCTTGCTAACAAAACCTGTTAATTTTACTTCTTCAAAAAAAAAAAAAAAAACCTGTTAATTTTACATTTGTGAGAAAACAATCAAATGCATGGTGGTCTTAAAATTTCAACCCTAAAGAAGAAAATAAGAATAGCAGAAGCTTCAGATTCCAATGTACTAGGTTGGATAGGTAGTAGATCATCTGCTGTTTCTTCTATCATATTATCATTCTATCTGTATAACTTGTATCCCAAGAAACAAATCAAAGGCTTCAGGTCAAATCTGAATCACATCTCATAAGTTTCAAGTTTCAACCATCTCAAACATTATCTTTGAATGGGATGATCAAAAACGAAAACAAGCTAAACCACATATAGAAAGCATGCAATAGGAATTCTTCAGTCCAAACACCCGTATATCGACTCCACACAAGGGGGCGGGACCAAAATAATGGGGTGTGGGGCGTTTTGTGTGCGGTTGGACGCCACGTGGTCTGTCATCCGCAACCAAGACTTTCTCCATGTAATAGGGCAGTAAATTAAAGAAAAGGCTATTAACTCACAAGTTACATTCTCAATTTATTCTTCTTACCCTTGATATCAAATCAAATGGTGAGTGACCATGAATTCTCCATGGTCAACTGAGAGAACATTTTTGTAATGAAAGATACAATGCTAGGAAGGTTCGATGTCTTACTCAACAGATACAAACAACAAGAGCAGCAACAAAGCATTATCCCACAAGATAGGGTTTACTCAACAGATATACAACAACAACAACAACAAAACCTTTTCCCACTAAGTGGGGTCGGCTATTACTCGACAGATATAACTCACAAAAAAGAAAAAAAATTATCCTTTGATTTCATTTTTCTTCCTCTACTCTCCTGTTCTTTTTTCCTCCTTGTTCATTCTCAAACTCCGGATGTGCCCTATTTGTGGTGCTTTTCTCTGGACTTGTCAAGCACAATTACTTCGGACATGCCTCAATTTGTATGTTGTCTCTCAATTGCATTGCAGTGCAAGGACTCCCTTGATTGAGCTGATCTTTGAGATCTTGAATTTCCTTGATCATCTCCACCTTGTCTTTCCTCTCAGCTTCGAGACTTCTTTCCAACTTCTTCACGAAACACTTCAGAGATCCAAGCAATGATTTCTGCTCGCCAATTAAGAACTCGTAGCCCTCTTTCAGCTTTTTCTTCTCCTCTTTTTCTTCTTTTAGTTTTGTCTTCAATTTTTTTGTTATGTCCTTACTCTCTATCTTTGCATTTATCCTATTCAATTTTCCTTGAGCTTCTGCAAGTCCAGCACTTGCATTTTGAACCATTTCCTCTCTATCTTCAGATCTTTTTTCCAAGCCCTCATTGTTGTTCAACCTTTCTGAAATAGTACGAACTGAGAGGAATTTCGTTTGTGTCTTCTGAGCTCGAAATTCACATCCTGATGAGGCCAGTGTATCATCTAATAGATTCTCCCCTTCTTCTCGATCTTCTTGCCCATCTATCTTAGCTTCTTCGGGTGGCATTTCCATTTCTTTTTTGTTCTTCTCCTTAAAGCTCAGCTGGACAGGTGCATTATCCAAACAAATAGGATATCAGCATCTACAAGTAATTCCTAGCAATAGTATACCGATTCCAACTACAATGTATTCTATACCTAGTGTTACGTAAATGCTAAAATATAATAACTATACACTTCCCCAATCTCTTCGACGTCTATTTGTTCCAGTTTGAAGTGTAGTTCCCAAGTGTTCCATTTTACTAGAGCCGGTTTCTGTCCCTCCCTTCCACTGATTGGTTGTATGAGGTTAGTTCTCTCGCACAACCAAAGCTGTTAACATGAAAATAAAACGTAATTACAATCACTTATGGAGGCACTAATTACATTATAAAGTTACTATACCACAATTGTTACCGTTATGACAGCCACACATCCAGGAAGAGAATATCCCTCGGACCTCCTGGTCCGTTTTCCCAATGATTCGTGTAGAAGGTCCGCCACTGCTTTTGCCCATGAATATCTTGAAAGATTTTCTAAATCTTCACAATACTCGACTAAATTCCATGAGACGACTTGGTTTGTGTTACACAATAAGAAGGTAGCGCAAAGTTCTGTTAGAATCAGGCGTGCAACATCCTCTGCATCTGTTTCTCTCTTCCCTTTTATTGCTGCTTCCAAGGCATTATCCACCAACTTCTCGTACAATATTGTTTCTTCCTCGAAACACCTTTTGGTAAAATCTGATATGTGTTTCGTTGTTCCTTTTAATTGTACTTCTTGACCTTCCCGTGGAAGCCCCAAAATTTCAGCAACGTCTTCAGTTGTCAACGATGCAGATGTAGTACCAAACTCAAAACTCATTGTTTCGGCGTTGTAGCACTTCATGATGTTTCCAATGCCAGCTTTCGATTTCTTGCATTGGTCTTCAGAAATCAGACCATTATAGAATGCCGATATTAACGGCCGAAATGGAGTTTGTTGAAGCAACTCCAAATGCTCTTCAGTCAAGTGTTCCTTAACTCGCTGCATCGGATTAAAAAATGATATCATATTACAGCGGTATCGCACCTGATCTCCTCTTACCCTCGTCCAACTTCCCATATTCCTCTTTTCCATTTTCTTGTTTTCCATGTTCTTGTTCTTCATCTTATTTGGGTCCCGGTCTGTAACCTATATATATATATATATATATAGATGTGCATTACAAGCACGTAGTTTTAACACAAGAAAGTCAAAGTATATTTTAACTCTTCTTTCTTAAGGATCCGTAAGGAAACAAAATAGACAAATACAATATTTCAGAAAAATAAATTGACAACCATTTGAGTGATATATAGTGTCCGATTTTAGTTGCTTTTTGCAATAGTGGTCATTGAGGGACAACCTAAAAATTAGACACCGGTTGAGATAATTGAAATATAATATAGGATGATCCCTAAAAAGTGTCCAGCAAATAAATTTTATTCAGATGAATACCTCATAGTGAAGCTACATATATGTCGAAATTTAAAATTGGGTTTACGTTTTACACCATCGAGGTTTGGGGGTAATTTCAAAACGAGCTATGAGGTTCTAATTTTTCACATTACACCTCAACCCTTTTACATTAGTCCAATCTACACCTTTTGATAGGTTTATTATCTAGTCAACCATTAACTGCTCATGTATCCGGAGCACTCATATTGCAGACCCACTAACCGTGCCACCAGAAAACACATTGAGGACATTTTAGGGGTGGGTCCCTCACTTCCAAGTCATTAGTGAATGGTTGACCTATTATAAAAGGTGTAAGTTCGTTGAATATCAAAACATCTGGTGTATCATGAAAAAATTGGAGCCTCGTGACCTATTGTGAAATTAATTCTAAAATCCGATGGTGTAAAACGTACTTAGCTCTTAAAATTCCAACATATTTATATAGAAATCAGACTACAATCACAAAGGCAGAATCATCAAACTTAAGTCGACAATAAAAAATATAAACCCCGGATTAGTTAAAATTAACCAATTAAGCAACAAAATTTCAAGCATTAAACTCTCGTAATTAGCATAACTTAAATTGTAAATATTATATAATTCTTTAATCCAAATTACCTGAAATATGCAGACCTCCATTTCCTTCAACAGAAGCAGAGCTTACTTCACTGATATTATTATTTGCAGTGCTATCCTGATCGATTGCTGTCAAACGCTCATTCCTCCGCACTAGTTCGAGCGGCTCTAGTGGCTTTTCCACTACTTCTTTATTACTTTGCTTCTTCTTGCCCTTCTTAAAAGCTCAGCTGGACAGGTGCATTATCCAAACAAATAGGATATCAACATCTACAAGCAATTCTAGCAATAGTGAAAACCATTTACAGCTACGTAGTATACAATATACTTACCCCAATATCTGCGACGTCTATTTCTCCCAGTTTAAAGTGTAGTTCCCACACGCTCCATTTTACGATAGCTGGTTTCTGTCCCTCCCTTCCCTTGATTGGTTGTATAAGGTTAGTACTCTCACACAGCCAAAGCTGTTGGGATGAAAATAAGTAATTACAATCACGTATGAAGGCACTGGTTACAATATAGAGTTATTATACGATAGTGTAAGTTACTTACCATTATCACAACCACACATCCAGGAACAGAATATCCGTTGGACTTCCTGGTCCGTTTTCCCAATGACTCGTGTAGAAAGTCAGCCACTGCTTTTGCCCATGAATATCTTGAAATATTTTCTAAATCATCACAATACTTTACTAAATTCCATGAAACAACGTGGTTTGTGTTACACAGTAAGGTCGCGCATAGTTCTATTACAATCAGGCGTGCAACATCCTCTACATCTGTTTTTCTCTTCCCTTTTATTGCTGCGTCCAAAGCATCATCCACCATCTTTTTGAGCAATAAAGTTTCTTCCTCGAAATACCTTTTGGTAAAATCTGATATGTGCTTCTGTTTTCCCTTTAGTTGTCGTACTTCTTGACCTTCTAGTGGAAGCCCCAAAATTTCAGCAACATCTTCAGTTGTCAACGATGCAGATGTAGTACCAAACTCAAAACCCATTGTTTCGGCATTGTAGCACTTGATGATGTTTCCGATGTCAGTGTTCGATTTCTTGCATTGATCTTCAGAAATCGCACCACTGTAAAATGCTGATATTAATGGCCAAAATGGAGTTTGTTGAAGCAACTCCAAGTGCCCTTCAGTCAAGTGTTCCTTAACTCGCTGCATTGTACTGAAAAATGATATCATATTACATCTGTATTGTACTTGATCTCCCCTTACCCTCTTCAAGCTTCCGATTTTCTTCTTTTCCATGTTCTTGCTCTTCATCTGCTCCTTTGCCACCGCTCTGTTACCTATATATACATATATATTCATAACGAGCCAAGTTTTAAAAACATGAAAGTCGAAATATATATTTTTAACTCTTCTTTCTCAGATCCCTAACAGAGCAAAATAACGAACACAGTATTAGAACTGACATGTGACAACCATTCGAGAGATTTAACAGTTTTGGGTTGTAGTGACTTTTGCAACAATGATCTTTGAGAGACAACCTAAAACTAGATGATGGTTGAGATCAGCGATGGAGCTAGGATTTTGTTCTCAGGTAGACTACGACTCTAGGCTACATAACCTGTTAAAGGAGCCTCCTAATATTGTCTCTCACATTCTCGACTAAAATATACATACATGTACTTTGGGAGGCATAATGAAATCTTAATGAACAAAACCCAACGGCACGAGTAAATTTTATTAGTAAGTAACAAATATATATGTACTTTGGGAGGCATAATGAGCCTTCCCTCAAAATGAATACAAACACATACGACAAATGCAAGAAACAAACATACGATGCAAATACGTACAACAAAAACTACTAAAATAAAATCTTAATATAATGAGAATACTTCAAAGACTCAAACGATTTTACAAAGGGTATTGATTTTTACCTCGTGCACTCCTGTTAATTTTGACCGGTGATTTTACTTTAACCGTTGAATCTAACAACTACAAAATTACACGGGTGTGTATGATGAGAGAAAAAGTGTGTTAAAATCATTTCCCCAGCTCAACAAACATAAACAACCTCGTACAATCCTCAATTACAAACTAAATTAAGTGAAACACACGAAGTACTAAAGCCACTCAATACTTAGTGACAATATTAAAAGCTTGTCAACACTTACTCGGCTGAGCTGATTTGACTAAATCATTACAACTACTAAAAAAAGAATATCGCTTTTCAAAATCTCACTTGGGCTGCAACATCCACATTTAACCTTTCAACATATTTATATGGAAATCAGAATACAAAATTAACACATCAAAATTAACAAAAATTTGAAGCACTAAACTTAAAATTAGCAAATTAATATGAAAATAATACAAATATCTTAATCCAAATTAATTACATGAAATTGGCAGACCTCCATCCCCTTTTCCAGAAGCAGAGCTTACTCCACTGCTACCATCGATTGCAGCAGCCAAAAGGTTGCATCTTCTTCTTTGCATGTTCGTCCCAAGCTCCGAAAGGGAAAGCTTGTCCGTTCACCGCCTCTGTCCTGGCCATAAGGGAAAGCTTGACCCTCAACTCCTCCTCTGCTTTGAGCTTTTCCAGCCACTCGAACTCGTACCTTTCCTCCATCAATGCCTTTTCGTACCTCTGCCGCTCGATTTCTCCCTTCATTCTCGCTTCTCTCACCGCCAAAGCCTCTTCGATTCAGTGAAATCCTCCGGCCGAGACGCCGTTCTCAGCGCCGATAACAGCTCTGAAACGCTCCGGTTTTCGGCTGCTTCGGCCTCGTCGCAGTCTTTAGAATTGCTTCGTTTCCCGATCACCATTTTGAGGCTCGGAAATCCGAAACGGAACCGAGCTGAAGACGTCTCCGAAACAGAGTGATTTGAAAAGACGAGCGGAGAAAGCGATTATGGTTTCCCTGGTTCCCTGTGCCATTTTTCTACTTAGCGATGCTGAGCGTCAAGTGTGGACATATGAGTGAACAAGATCGTGCCACGTTTTGCTTACCTGAATGATCGTGCGGCTATAATCGTTTTGATAAATTTTTTTTTTCTGCAACGGTTCTTGATGAGTTATATTTGTTTAGATATTTTGTTACAAAATAAAAGAGGAGAAGAAAATTAAGAACATAAAGAAATTTCATTTTTTTAAGGAAAGAAATTTCGCTTAAAAGAAAAAAAAAAAAAAAAAAAACTTCATTCAGTGCGAACTATTTTATTTTTTTTGGATTCCAATTTTGAACTTGGATGAGTTGGATGTAGAAGGAAACTATTTAATTAGTGTTTGATATAGACAATTTTGTACGAACCTGCAAACCTAATTCTATATACGACTTCGCGCCAACTTCGCAAACGTAACTCTACATGCAACGGAAACTATTTAATTAGTGTTTGATATAGACAGTAACTTAATATTTGAACACCCTTTTATAATTACGCTCATGTTGGTAAACATGGGATTCAGACCATCTTCGTCTCTAAAGCTTTCTGTTAAGATCATCTAATTCAAGTTGTTTATTCACGTACAACAATAATATAACCATAAAGAAAAAGGTCAATACTATTTGAATTCATCTAAAAACGGTCATTTATTTTGAACTGCACCAACGAAAAATGAGTGTTACATACAATTTTGTAGTAAGTTAAGATCATTTACAATTGAAATCTTTCGTTTGATTCTTCATGTCAAACATAAAAAAAAATAAAAATAAATAGTGTTTCATTAATACACATGTACAATTAATACAATTACAAGGGTGAGTTGTGTCCTAATCACTTAGGAGGATCCTCATATTCTCTTTGTGAGGATCCTCACATCCGTTCATCGTATATCGTGCAGTCAGAAATCATTGTAATATTTTTTTTAATTGAATATAAACCGTACCTGATAAAAATGCTACACGATGTACGATCAATAGCAGAGCTAGGAATTTTTTACCAGGTGGACTAGTTTAAAAATTTAAATCTTTTTAAATAAAGAAACTTGATACCCTATTTCTCATAGTATCAGCTAGCTTAAAAAAATTCACAATGTGAGCCAAAAATGTGTTAAAATTAAACAAATCCAAATTTGTACATGTACAAGAAGCGATGAGAAAAATAATGTAAGAAAAAAGAGATGGTTTGCAAACTGTATTATATAATTTTATAGTTAAACCTAGAGAATTCGAATTAGCAACTAAATATTTGGTAGGCTACATTCGAAAATCAATCAAAATTACATATAAAATTTTATTTTTCACCACAAGCTACCGGGGCTATAGCCCAGAGCAGCCCTTAACTTGGCTCCGCCATTATGTACGATGAACGGATCTGATTAAAGGATCCTCGGGATCCTCACAAAAAGGATCCGACGAGGATCCTCTCTCCCTAATCACCATTCGCAAGGACACGAATCCGAGACAAACAAAGTTGAATACCTACAAGGGGACGAAAATTTTGAGTTTCGGATGGAGCGGAGAAGACAACGAAGGTATTCTAACCAAAACAGATGGAAGTGATACTGCTCCTGGTGATAATTCACTTGGAAATATGCTGAGTGTCAGGAGTGTGCTGATGGAAAGATTTTTTAGAACAAAATACAATTGATTGAAAATTTGAAAAAAAAAAAATTCTTAACCAATTGTATTATAATACTTGGTGTACCTAGTTGTATTCTTAACACTTAGAAAAATTTCTGATAGCGCCACATATGGTTAGCATGAAGGATCGTGTGGTTATGATTCATGAATTCATTTTTCCATCCTATAACTTTTTCTAATAATATAATAACACACCCCTATTCTCCCTCCTTACACCATTCCTTATTTCTCATGATCAGATTAGAAAGGGTTTAGGGTTTTGGCACCTCCACAACTAATTAGAAGTTTCCCTTTCATAATGGATAATGTTAAGGAGATCAAATTTTTAAACCAAATTCCGTGTCATCAATAGAAAATTAGTACATTAGTCAACACTTAAATGATAATTCAATCATCAACATTCACATCATTTAGTTTACAAATTTTAGTTTAGAAATTTAGTCTCCCTAACATTACCCTTTTATAAACATAAGGGATAAGTAGTAACTTGCATTTGAGGAACACAATAATGAAGATAATAATACAAAATAGATGAAAAGTCACAAACTCATTTGACAATTAAAGAATAATGGTGTAACAATTCATGGTGCAAGCCACACTTTTTTTTTTTGCTCTCAAAATTTTTATTGCATCGTAATGGAATATCATATGGAATATTAGATCTTGGAGTGCGAATTCTCGTCGGATCTTCTTTGTGAGGATCCAATCACATCTGTTTGTCATTGTGTGATCATAAGTCATTGTAATTTTTTTTATTTAAAATTGAATACAGTATCTTGACGAAAACTGGTCGTATGATAAACGAATGTGATTGGAGGATCTCTAGGATCCTCACAAAGGGGATCCAGCGAGGATCCTCTCTCTAAATCTTCCACGCATATTCAACAACCATTTGACTTATGGACACAACAACCAATAAACTCTCAATTGCTTAAACATTGTAGGAAAGTGATTCTCTCCAGATATCTTCCATCAAGGCCACTGGATCTAGTGATCTGGGCCTTTAAAATTTGATCAAACGGCTAAAACCAGAAGCACCCTTTAAAAGTTATAATAATTTTGGCCATTGGATCAAATTTCAAAGATCATGATCATTTGATCCGGTGGTTTTGGTGGAAGAAATCCGGAGATGATATCTTTCCAACATTGTATATGCGAGGCTTTAAGCCGCCCACTAATCATTGTATAAGATTTGAAAATCAATAGACCAAAATCCTTTCTAATTATATGATGAGAGTTAAAGGGATTGCAGGTCCTGACCTCTTTGTAAATCTTATCATCACATGAATTGCCATGATATCTTTGTTGGAGCAATATTAGAGAATATAAAAATAACACAAAAATCTAATAACAATAATTATAAAGAAATTCACAACATCAATTGTGTACAAATTAATATAAATAACGTATAGAGAAAGTAAGAAGACAAACTTGGAGGTTGAGATTTACATAAACGCAATGTCCTAAGATAAAATCTCGCCCCTACTCTTGTGCTTATAGTTCGATAGGCGTTCGTCTACCAAGATTCAACAACACCTCATTCTTAGGACTCTGGCACCTCATTCTTAGGATTTTGGCCTTCATATATTCCATATTTTAAGACACGACTCATAATTTGGCTAACAAAAAATAAAAGACATTGAAGAAAAATTTTCTGTTAATTTAGTTAGGTGGGATGTTTGAGTCTATATTGAACTCAAGCCACCCTTTTGAAACATTGTAACTGTTGCCTAAATTTTTAATGGAAAGATGCAAATTTGAATTCAAATATAACACTTGACAATTTTATTTTCATTCACACAAAAATGAAATATCCATGAGAAATAGACAATTACCTCTTGTTACAAAGATAATTTATTCTGAAAAAATGTAGACCATGTTGAAAATATTTGTGGTTAATGAATGCCCACACAGTAATGTTGAAACTATTGGTGGATTAATGAATGACCACATAGTAATGTGGACTTGGGAAATGAATGAGAATTGTATTTTCAAAAGGTATGTGCTGTAAATTTCAAGGTGTAATTATTACGTTTGTTTGGAGTTGTTCTATAAATAAAGGGCTTCATGTGCTATCAAAATACATTGACAAGAAGAAAAGATCAATAACATCAGTATCTATCCCTCCCCCTTTTATTTGTCATCCCTTTGTGTTATAGTTACAGTGTGATATTTTATACTTTATTCGCTCCTGTCACTAGTAAAGGTTATCTCTCTAACTTTTGCCTATTTATAACATGTTATCAGCACGACTCTCTAACCATTTCTC